CTGTCTCGCACTGCTGAGCAAGTTGACGATAGCGCGGCAACTATCTATGCGGCCATTTGAGACCTACGTCGGACTATTGTGGCAACTATGTATGCCACACCGATCCCGTTTGGTTTTTTTCGCGCGCCTGCAAATTACGTGGTTCACGAATTGGTCAACTATGCCTTTCTTCGGCTGAGGTTTTCCAGGCCTTACGAAAATGTTGGTTCAGTTCATTCCTTGCTTTTCATCAACATAAACCTGCAGATTGGAAAGAGTAACGGATATAAACGAAAAACACGTGTTTTTACTGAAATAACCGCTTCAAAATACTTTTCAGATATACCACAGCAAAAGCAGCGAAATCTGGAAGACTCAAACAGATGGTGGTCATCGATTCTCCAGCAGCTTCCGAGGCCATGTCAGTGCCGATGTACATTTCGCACTTGCCTCATTCAAAAAGTACTGCGTGCCCATACCACTAGCTTAGCATCGACGTTTCTACATCTCCCATTGATCACTGGTCTCAGATCTATCTAGTCCAACAATCCCGCAAAGCGGACAAATAATTCGTAAAACTTCTGCCTGCTGTTGCGCCTTCAAGATAAACCAACAGACGGCAACAGCCGGCACTCAAAAATGAACTGTATGAGAGCAGTGGTCTCCAGCAATGGCAAACCCAGCAAACGCCAGATTAAAGTCAACGGTTAGCTAGACGCAAATAAAAGTATATTTGCTAGTCAACTTCATAAAAGTACCTTTCGTCAAATAGAAATCATCGAGTAAAATGATAATGTGTAGATCTTGTCATTAGACTGACAAACCCGAGCTGTATTCTTTTTGGGAGATTGGCTACCTATGCATACAACAGCTCATGAGACTTTCGAGAAGATACGAAAGTGCCAGTTAGGCCAGAGTGCAACCAACACTTTGAGTGACATTACGTTTTTTGAGATTTCAAATAATAACAGTACTAGTAAATCCTACTACGTACGGCTAAGCGGGTGTGCGTGTGTGTCTGTCCGACCGGAAATTCATAACTTCACTCCCTCTGCTCACAAAGCGCTCCAAGTTCTAAGGTATCTAAGGGGTAGGACGTTGGGAAGGAATGATAACTGCTGATAGGAGTTAATAACGGACGTAATTGTCGATCTCACGGATTTCGTTACGCCTTTCGCGTTAACAGTGAAGAGCTTCCACTTAGAAATATGGTGTGAGATGGACCCAAAAGAGCGCGAAAGAAGGTGATAGTAAGTGGTAAGAGCTGATAACGTGCAAGATCCCAATGCCGTTTTCGTTACGCCATTCGCCAGGGATGGAAGGCTTGGTTGGCCTGGGCGACTCACGACCCAGGCTTGCGTAAGCGTGCCACTTGCCACTGCACCACTTTCGCCCGAGAGTACGGGTAGTAAGTGACAATTCTTCACTTTCCTCTCCTTTCTGGGCGTAAGTTGATAGGGACAATGTCTTCTTCCCACTGAAACCAAATATCATACAGCTCTCAAAATCAGGGGAACAACCACATCACACTATGCCAATCTTGAAATTGAACCGAGACGGCTCGGTGTCACAAAGTAGATGTTTTGGGTAAAGGTTGAACACTTTAATAACTTAGGAATTACCAGAGATGGAAACGAAGGAGATTGAAGGTTACAGTTACCACCATAACAAATATCAGATGCAGAAACTCGCTCTCCTCCTTGCAACCTTCGTACCGCCAAAATGGAAAAATTGATGTAAAAGACCCTTCAGAAACATAGGTTCCATGGACAATAATCCACTTGACATCACTCTAAATGTTTCAGCAGGATACTTCAATTTCCTTCACCTAGTCATAAAAGCGAAAATTGTACAAAGAGGGATTTTTTGAGTTCATAGTCTACGGTGAGCTGTTATCTGAGAAATCCCCACAGGACTCAGCTGAATCTCCTGCACAGTAAACCTGGAAGCAAGAGCAAACTCGAAACGTCAAGGAAATTTGATCACTTGAGGCGGGCAGAGCAAAAATATCTGGAATCTTTTGACGCGTTCCACCTGCGTGTCACCGTGCACGGCTTCCCTCTTGATCTTGAGGCAAGTATGAATGCATCAGGGGATAGAACTCAATCCTAACCTAGCTTTGCTTTGCGACACTAGTGGCTAACACTTTTTCAAAGTTGGTTTGTTTCATTGAACCAATATTACTTCAGTGTGTATAATTTTTTGGCTACCATAATTTTGGTCCACCCTGTACATACACCCCATCAAGAAACATATTCTGTTTCCTGAAGTTGGGGCAGCCTAATCTGTCAGCCCCATCAATCACTGCATTTGAACAAAAGCCTCATTTCTAATCTTCACATAGCGTGTTTCTGCCAGTAACCCCTTGTCTGTAGCCTTTTCTTCTATGTATGCTCAAATTTTCATTCATTCTTTAAACGTTGGTGACCTTGTGCTGATTCTCAGTTCTCCTACGAGAGTTCATTTGAAATATAGTTTTCCTCGCTCCACTGCTTTACAGGTTTCTGAATGGCTCTCAGAGAAACTGTGACTTCGGAGGTTTAGTTGAGCTTTCCAGTCCAGCTCCTTGCTTACCGTGCAATCGCGTTACAGCTTGAATAGGTCCTCGCCAAAACTTGAAAAACAAACGTTTTTTTCTACAAACCAAAGAGTAGCAGCATACAAATATTTTGAAAGAATACGCCTAACTTCCCCAAACAATATTCAAAGCAAAACGAAGTGTCAAGCTTGGGTACTTTCACACCACCCTGTATAATATTTGATGCCAGGGTAGCTGAGTGGTAAGTGTTAAAAGAGTAGGTGCGTGACGCATTTCCCAGCGGAACTCTTAAAGCGAGTTTACCCGCCTAAGGCTGATGTCAGAGTCCGCGATCCATCGCAGGTTTCGCGCAAATCGCGTGAATCGCGCAAAACGTGAAAATCAGCGACAACCTGCAACGGATCGCGGACTCTGACACCAGCCTAACGCCATCCCACTTGGCCTTCAACTATTCGCTCGCCTTTTAACCCTTTGACTACTGGTGGGACACATGTGTCCCACTTCGTAGTCAAAGACACTACCACAGTTCCAGGGAATATTGAGGCAGGAGGGCTCATTTGATGGCTGAACTTGTGCACATATAGAAGCTTTCTAATTCCTACTATGACAATTAGTCGTCAGAAGCTAAAGCGAGTCATCTCGCGTTCCAGAAAGTGGTGGAGGAAGGTGTACTACATATAAATACTACAGGTGGCGGTTGTAAACGCATGGATAATATATCAGGAAATCCATCACGAGAAAACGAAGCTGATCAAATTCCTTGTTCCTCTTGCTCAGCAAATGATTGCGCAGGGGAGGGAAAGGACGGCTAACAGGCGCAAGCCCGGCATGGGGAGGCCACCAAAAACCATCATGTGGGACCATATGCCACTACAGTTAAAAACGCGTCGGCGATGTAGATACTGCGCGATGTCAAAGAAAGAAACTCGTACAAAAATAATGTGTGCTGCTTGCAACGTGCCCTTGTGTATATCATGTTTTACTCCGTACCATTCATAGACCATATAATGTTGACCTTTTCAAACTTTTTTTTTGTAAAAGTTTTCGGGTCATTGAAGACTTTAATATTGTAAAAAAATGTGTGGTTGTAAATTAATTGCCAATTTATTAAACAAAAAAAGAGCGGAAATGGTGTTATGACAAGACGGGCCGCTACCGCGCGCATGGTCCCTAGATCAAATCCCAGGTCACACCCAACGTACATCAGCCAAATTTCTACAGCTGGTTGCCTGTTGCTGGGAGGGATAATTGCAACGCAGAACACATTTATAACTCGATTCTAAAAAAGTCGTAGTCTAAGGGTTAAGGGCCCCCAATCGCCAGTCGTTACTCTGTGCTCTGGCCTTTGCATTACTTTGAACCGCAGTGGAGAGGCAGAACGCGACGTCCCTGACTCGCCTGCTGCCGTGATCCGTCCAGCGCTCAAAACAACGATCAATGTAGTGAAATCTTTTCATGGTTCTAGGTGGTTCTGATTGGTTTCCCTTCACCACAGCTTTACGAGTAATCTCAATTTTTCGGGCCGCCAATCGGTTATCGCACCCACTGCCCTTCAGCTTGATTGCACTAAAATACAATGTATTACTACGCTCTAACATGTTCAAGCTATCACGTATGCGTAAAACCTGATTAAAAAGAAAAAAGTTCATTAACATTAACAGACAACAAGAGATCTATAAATGGAAATAAATGTGTACAACAGCCAATGAAAGTGAGAAACAGAATGGGAGAACTGTAAGGAATTGCTGCGAACTATCTTGTCAATACCTACATATAGTGCTAGCTAAATGACATGTATTTTGTGCCACATAAGGGAAAACAATATAGTCTATTCATGTTCATCTAGGTCTTCTATAGCGAGAATGGGTATCAATCATTTCCGTTGTGAAAAAGAGAGCGCTATCCTCCCTTTACTGTCCCACTCCTCGAAAACTACTGAGCCGGATTTTTATCAAAAGTTGACCATGACTCCGAATCTGGCTAGAATGTTGTCCACGGGGTAATTTGACCCGTAGAATATGAATATTAGTTTACTTCCCAGTGTGTGAGCCTCCAGCCAGCGCTACGGGCGTCGAGGCAAGACTTACATATGTGATAGCGTCGACGCCTGTAGCGCTTGCGCCGGGCGTTCTCGAGCTAAACTTGTGTGATTTTCGCGTTCTACGGAATGAAAAGCTAGCTGAAAAGCTAGACAACTTCTAGCTAAATTTCTAGTCATGGACAAATTTCGATTGCAAATCAGCTCAGTGCTTGAGAATTTGGGCAGTAAAGTGTAGATAGTGCCAAAAAGTATTGTTGAGCGTATTTCGCCATCCATCAGCACACTAATCAAGTAGTGCTTGTATGCATACTTCTATCAAACCGACAGATCCACAGTGAAATATTTGTACAACATGGTTGAAAATATACAAAGCTTTTCCAAGTTCATGTAATTACATGCAGATGTAAAGGAATCCGTGATTTCACCTCGCACAGCTCAGTTCTAATCAAGATATTCATCCTCTTGGTCATCTTCGGCGCACTCCTGCTGTGCATTGTTGCTGTCGGGTAATACCTCCTGGGAAAAATATGTATATTGGAAAAGAGAAATATTCCAAAGACATTTGCTGGAGAATGCTCATTCTTCCAGTCTTTCAAAATTTGGTACTATTCCACTATTACTGCCCCAAAATCTCAAAGTTTTATTTTTCGTCGAAACTTTGCCTATAGGGTAATTCGATGCCCTGATTACGAATATGACATTCATTTTTGATGCTGGCGCCACCTTGTCACGACGGCTGTTTTCAAATTCGGTGTAAACTTGTATACAGGGGTTATTTGGTGTCCTGATTACGAATATGGCATTTATTTTCAGCGTTGGCGCCATTTCGGCGCCATTTTCTGCTCGTCTTCGCCTCTCACTTGGTTT